TACATCTTTCCAGTCTTTATTTTGGTGTTATATTATTTACATTACGGTATGTGGTGTAGTACAAGCCATCCCAGTAGGTATTAATATTATAGAAAACAAAATAGATTTTTTACCTTTGTAGTTTTCGAGATATCGAAAACTTTATATTTATTAAATATATTTATTGCTTATACCCGACCCTGCCTGCGACCCCTCATAGCCTCGTCGGGTCGGTGGGCGTGGAACCCGTGGCCAGCCTGGGCTCTAGTACAAAAATTTAATTTGTATATCTTGCCTTTTAGCATTTAGAACCGCCTGTCTAAAGAGCCACAAGGTTTCTCCACTGTACCACGACAAAACACCGGGTTCTCTTGTATTAAAATAGAATATAAAACGCCATTTATTACACAATTTAAAATCGCGGCTTTCTCCTTATTTACAGAGATGTGTCAAAGAAGCCTATACACACAATGAAGATGACAGCGACCTTAGAATGTAGTGAATGAGAACGATGGGTAATGAAAAGTGATGGAGGATTCATGAAGCAAGACACAACACCGGACGAGAGCCAAAGCTGACTTTATATTCAATTTCCAGAAGGAGCCTCAGATTCAGGTCACTTGTGGGCGACTATGAACCAATTTTTTTTTTGGTAACAAATAACGGCATATTGATGCCAATGGGTGATTTAGAAAAGCAACTCAACTGTCGTCCTGTGAATGGCCTGGTTAGTGACAGCTCGAAGTCGAATGACTACCCTTATCAAAAGGACATGAAAAAAAAAATGCTGGCAAACTCAGCGAGAAACGCGTGACTCAACTATCAATTTTCTAATGGGTTTAAAAGAAGAATTTTATTAACAAATTGTAACAATAAATCTATGTACAGACAACCCTTTAATTACATATTTTTAGGCTGCACAAAATCATACACAAATAAATACTTGATCATCTCTATGCCCCTACCCTCAAAATGACTAAAAGTTCAACTTACGTATAATCTTTGGGTTAAGACGGGTCTGATTTGTAAGGGGGAGGAGAGGTTGACATGTAATTAAGAGCAACACCTAAGTTCAACCATCTGCTTCTCCCTTGCAAAGCTACCAAAGGCTCGAAGCTATACTCTACAGCACTTGTCATTTATTGTTAGCTTTAGCGTTTTGCAGTCTAAAAAAATATGAGTTGCATTGCATGTTAACAACAAAAACAACTAACCTGTTGAGGTATTCCTTTTAATGTACATTTTGTGTCAACGGTTGTACAACAAAAACATAAAGGGTCAGTCTGAGATTAAACAAAACAAAAAAGAACAGTTTCCAAAAACTATGACTTGAAAATCTTGAGCGGGTTTTGTCTTTTGATGGCCCCCCAAAAAAAATTAAGGGCCAGGAAGCACTAAGCAGCGCCAAATTCTGAAACGTTACTTGAAAAGAAAAGTATATAGAAGTATTTATAAATTACAACAACAGTAATTCATAAATATGAGCCTCATTCTAATTCCAGCCAACCAGATTTCAGTGAACACTTGCCAACAAGTTTCTCCTCATGTATATTAGTTGAACTTATCACGGTACATTTGAGCAACGTTTCAGAACCTGGTCCCATTAAGCGCATGCCTCTTGTTACACTGCGGGACACCTACGACTCGTCTCACTGGTCGACTAAGCAACAGCAACTACAGTTTGTCCGTCTGTCAGTAAACATGTACGGGTAATAAGAGCACCTGCGGAGGTCCTTGTATGGACTGCACATAACTACGATCTGGCCTCTAGGACACTGTCTCTTAATGCTGGATGAAAAGTTATTTCACTTGAAATTTAAATACGAGGTCGTGGCTACCTCGTTACTGTCCTGTTTGTCCTGTTTTGTAGGCAGCCACACGTATATAATATTCCTCGAAATGAACTTTCAATATAAAGTACCTCCCGTCCGGAAAACAGTACCGAGGCGCACTGTGCTGCAGATGCAGTCATTGGAGAGGGAGTGATCCAGAGAGTTTCTGTCTGAACGCCCAGAACACTCACAGTCAGTTGAGACTCGCAGCACTTCGTAGGAGTACCCTGGGGAGGATCCTTTGGGCATGGGTTTTGAAGTCCCTGAGGTTATTATAGCATTGTCACTTCCAGTCGTGCAGGATAGTGAGAGTTCTTTCCTCCCCAAACTGATAAAAACACCACCGGAATTTACATTACATTCACTTTTGGTACACGGAGGACATGTGAGTGTGCGCGAAAGATTCACTGTGACTGTGAACCTATCCTAGCAAACTCGAGGTCCGGTCTTATTGCCCTGACGAAGCAGAGCTAGGTCGCCGGTCTTGTGTCTGCGCGTGGCAGTGGTCACAGTGCAGGCACACGTTACAGGCACCTAGGCGGCGGGCTAAGACAGAGCGGAGTTTGAGGGCAGGACCCAGCTTCATATTGATGCTGGAGGTGAGGTGCTCCTCCGTCAGCAGCGGCAGCGCTGACCCATCGATACGTTGCTCACGGAACGCCTGCGGGAGAAGAGAGAATTATGGGTTAGTGGAGGTGTCTTAACAACGCTATAATTGTGGGGATTTCAGCGATGACGGACGTCAAGACAGGTTTTCCCTGACATAAATGGATGTGTATCCATTGCGGCCATTGATAACAGCTTAAACGAACTCCATTGCAAATACTACTCACTTCCCGGTTGAATCTTACCATATGTAAATCAGGTACAAGTTAATGAAGGACTTTAAAATCATGCCTGAAACTAAAATATTCATTGAGATAAAGTACTCTTTATGTCTATTCCTAAATTAACATACGTGTCCTCAAGTTCCTCAAGAGCCTTTATACAGCTAAGAGGTTTAGTAGTAGTGTTCCATGCTTGTCTCCTCCTGGGCTGAATAATAGCTAACCTGAGTCAGTTTGCATGTAGAGTGACTAGTAGCGGCAGGCCCAGGGGGTTCGAAACATATAAAATCGACAGTGAAGAAGGCAGGGGATCAATTTCCGCAGTATGTACGATGCTATTTCGTTTTGGTGCTGGTTGCTAGTTTGGGCTTTACGTGTGTAAAGTAGGGACTGAAATAATGTTTCATGTTCTGTTCATATATATATATATATATATATATATATATATATATATATATATATATATATATATATATATATTCTGTGTGTGTGTGTGTATGTCGTGCCGAATAGGTAAAACTTATGATTTTTGGCTTAAATAGCAACGCAAGAAGAGCACTGCTATATACGCCAAAATCGCAGGTTTTACCTATTCGGCACCTGATATCCCACCCTTCCTCGGTGGGATATGAATGTGGATTTTCTTACAGATATCTCCACAGTGAATAAACCACAGAAACAAGTAACAGAAAATAACTAACAGAAATAAAAGAGAGAGGAAAAATACGTAAAATGCAGAGAATGGGAAGTTTTTATACTATCTTGAAAGATATGGAATGAAACAGGAATGAGCAATTTGGAGCATAAATAAGATGTCCTCAGTAATTGCCAGTAGGACGCCTGCAATGTTCCCAAAATGAGATGCTGTAATTATGAAAGGTTTAAGAGCAAACTTTGTAGCAAAATATATTCTATTATCTTCGATGTATTGTGTATGTGTATAATATTCTCAACCTGTAATCATCTAACTTAAATATGCCAAGGCAAAATTTAGACTTGTGTTTAATACAACAGAATTCAATAATGTTACAGAATGTTTCCAGTCACTACGGACCTATTATTTCTCGTCAATTTTTTATGGAATATTCATGTTACTTCATCCCGGCTTCAATTCATCGATATTCAGTATTGGGTCAACCTTTACCTTGATAATTAAAAAGAACATGAAAAAAAATCGATTCCTGCTATATACATACACACACATCAAAACATAAACACCATAAAATCAGCTACAGATAATCTTGAGTCTATTTTAAAATAAAATAAATATTCTTATGAAGAATTCTGAAAATGATAAAGGTAAAAAAAAATTACTCGAAAAAGACTCCGACATAGTCTAGATAAAGAGTGATGGATTTCCCTTTAAGTCTGGGAGACATGGAAAAATTTTCACCCACAAGTCATCATTTCTCAATGTGAGTTTAAAAAGCACTGTTTTCAGACGATATCAAGACCTAGTGCCCCACTTGGTCCCTCCTGACACTGCCACCCCGTGTCACTTTCACATTTCACCAAAGACATAAGAATAATAACAGAGGAGCACTGCAGCAAGCCTACTGGTCCCAGAGAGGTTGTTCCCTTTCTCAGCCAACCCTTCTTACTCATACATTTCTCGAACCTATTGTGAAAACTACCCAAAATGATGCCACTTGGCAGTTTGTTCCACTCGTAAACAAATGTATTCCCATATCCTTACTAAATCTGGACCTGTCCAAATTGTGACAGACTCCACACATGCAACGCAGCACCAGCCACGCGAAAAACACTTGTATGTAATAAAATATTAAAGAAAGTAAGTCTAGTAAGATTGCAGTGTGGAGATGAGAGGCCGTGTAGAGGTCAGGGTAGAAATATTGTTGTCTGTTCTATGAAAGGTTCATCTGATTCTAAGATAGCCAAAAGAATAGTTTTGATGTAATCAAGCACTTCGATAATTGTTTAAAAATAGAATATTGTGCTTATTATTTGTGCATAAATTTTATAATGAAAATAAATCTTAAGTTTCTCTCGAGCTTAAGGAAAACCGATTTAGAGAAATTTTATTGTCGAATACCTGAAAGTGCTGACTATTTAAAAGCAGGTAATGACTGCTGGTAATGACTGTATCTCAGATTACGCGATCTTCAAGTCAGGAGGTACCTAGACGCTGGCGAAAAGCTTTTGATACAAAAAGTTGGGGTTTCCCTACCTTCCCTTAGATAAAATTCAAATTATTTAATTATTTTATGCAGTATACAGATAATGTAGTTTACATGTAAAAAATATTGTTAGGAATAAAGGAAAGCCACTATTATGCAGGGCATTTCGGGCAATAAAAATTACCTCCTATTCCCAGCGCTTTCTCGTGAAGATAATTACATTAATCTTATTACACTCTTTAATATGAGTAGAGTAAAATTGATCTTATTCTTTCCGACATTGACGAGGTCGATGACGTAAAGGCGCCCTTACTGTGAGTCGTGGGACCGATTTGTTAAAAATTAGCTCGTGACTCAGGCAGGCGGGATAGGAGCCTTGATAGTCACGTCAGTCCGTGTGACCTGTGAGAGAAGAGGAGCCTCGCTGGTCACGTCAAGCCTCCAAGAAGTTTGACCCCATCACTCCTGCTGTTGAGCCTGCCACCAACCACGGCTGCGGCCTCCTGCTGGTAGGTGCTTCTGGGGTCGCAAGGATTGTGGGAGATTTCTCGACCCCAGGATACAGCTGGGGGTCAGTGGTGAGGTCAGGTGCCTCGTGGTTGTCGTGGAGCTGGTTGGCAGGGGGTTGTATAGTGAGTGGTGGACGGTGGGGGAGGAAGGGGATTGTCTGTGGTAAGGGGAGGTGAGTGACTGTGGTGGTTGGTGGGGCGAGGTGATGGAATCTGGTGGTTTTTAGTGAAGGTGAGTGACTGGTTGTGATGATGACTGGATGAGGAAGAGTAAGGGGACAGTGGTGGGGAAGGTGAGGGACTGTGGTGATGATGGTGAAAAGCTGGGAAAATAAGGGACTGTGATGGTGATGGTAGTTAGTGGGGAAAGGTGAGGGTTGTTGTGAGTAATGACAGTTGGTTGGGTTTGGTGAGAGACCTTGATGTTGACATTGGATGAAGGGGGAGTTAAGCGAGTGTGGTGGCGAAGGTTAGTGGGGGAGGTGAAGGTGTTGAAGGACTGCGGAAGTTTGTTTAATTACCATCACTGGTTATCTTTTACCCAACACTTGAACACTTTCAGAACGTACTGGAGTTTCATGCACACAGGACTAGAGTATATTCATTGCACTCCTGCTTTTCACCGGAGGTATCTTGCACCATCTACCAAGCCTCTTGTTTTCATAAAGCGTAACTTCGATGTACAAGTTTCGGACCAGAGTCCTCAGAATCTTCAAGTTTTAGATTATCATGTATCTTTCTCTCCTAAACTCAGTAATTTAGGTGCTTGATTGAGTTTATACGAGATGTGAAGATTTTCAGTACATTTTTTTTTCAGGTCTGCAATTTCTCCTGCCTTGAAGAGATCTTGCTTAATAAGAATCATATATTTAGCAAGATGTATATTAGTTGGCCAGTATCGTATAGTAGTTAGAGCACTGGCCGTCAATTGTCGTGTTGACTGTTGAGATTTTTTCGTTTATATGGACTACGACGGTTTATGTCTTATGAGCTCTGCTCCGATAAGTCTCGTGAAAATATGGTCCACCTCTAGTCGGGTAATGTAGAGGAAACAAGAAAGGAACGGGAACAGTATGCTACAAAGCAGGTCTGGTGGGTCCTTGCCGAACTCCAGCAGAGCGAAAAGCTTCCCCCCCCACACACACAAACCTACCAGAGTTAACAACATCAAGCTTATAAGAGCTGATGTATGGTACATCGACCAATTGCTCAGCAGGCTGTGTATGATGAAGACAAGCATCACGGGAAAAAAAACAGGAAATTTGTCACTGATGCTCTAGGCAGGAACAGAGTGAAACATCCGCACTCCACGACGGCTTGAAGGAAAAGTTCGACTGTGCAGATTGACGGAAAATAAATAGGAGTATTTATCTGAACAAACGGACGGCTGGTAGCAAGTATAATTAGTGTATAGCCAGAAACACTATCGGATCTCACTTATTCATTAAAACACATTCCCCTTTCCAACAAACCTCGCCCATATGCATGCATTTAAGATAGTTGAAAATAATCAGAAACAAGTACAAACACGTTCTTTAAGGGCCCAGAGTTCTCCCTAGGTAGTAGCTATCAGCATACCTTGGTAAACAAGGTATCTGAGCCACAGAGAATCCATCAAGTGAAGATATTAATGTATGATGTATTTATTAATAAACGGAATCATGGTCGAGTCCCCACTCACTCCTGTTATTATCCACAACATCCTGGTGAGGGATTCCTCTATCACTGGCTGGGCTATTTGCACCTTCTTGGTGTTGATCTATCACTGGCAAGGTTACTCGTTCCTTTCAAATGTTGATCCATCACCTGTAGGGTTACTCACACCAACCCGGTGTTGATCTATCACTAGCAAAGCTACTCACACCATTCTAGTGTTGAGCCATCACTGGCAGAGATACTCATACCATTCTAGGGTTGATCCATCGCTAGCAGGGCTGCTCACACCATCCCGGTGTTGATTTATCACTGGCAAGGCTACTCACACCATCCCGGTGTTGATCCATCACTGGCAGGGCTACTCACATCATCCTGGTGTTGATCCATCACTGGCAGGGCTACTCACACCATCCCGGTGTTGATTTATCAATGGCAGGGCTACTCACACCATCCCGGTGTTGATCCATCACTGGCAGGGCCACTCACATCATCCTGGTGTTGATCCATCACTGGCAGGGCTACTCACACCAT